AATTTAAATATTTATTTTTTAAAAGTATACTAAAATCCAGCAGTTAAAATAATATTATATTGTATAGCATCATGCACACACTCAGTTATTATTAGTATTAGTTAATTGTTAATTGAGACTATAGCTATCTCCTTTCCAATCATACCATATGATTCCATACCAGACACCATTTCCAGTTGGATTAGTATAATAAGGACCATTGAGATGTGACTGATAGCAGCTATTAAACCGCCAGGCACCATTCCAGTAATCAGCACAATTCCCACCATTTTGATCATTATCATTATCACTAGTTGAGAACTTCATTCCATTGTGAACTGCAGGATGACTAAGATTAGACTCTATAAGGCCATCCCCAGCAGTACCAGAGTATCCTCCTACTGTTAGTATATATTCAGTACTACCATCACTAACATTAAATGTAGAGTAGTTAGCATAAGCTGTGTTCCCCTCAAAGTCTCCCAGGTCCACTCTTAGTGTGTTTGATCCTTCTTTAGTAAGACGATGAATCTTGCTCAATCCTAACCAAAACTCACCAGTAAGGTCGCCAAATCCATTCTCATAGTCAGTTCAGTTCCTATAGAAATCAACAGATCCATCTTTTTTCCTCTGAAATACAGTCCATCCACCACCATCAGTCTCCATATCACAGTATACCTGTGATCCAATAGTGTATAATTATAAATTACTCTTGACTAACTTCAAATGGAGTCCCTCCATCAGGATTAACAGTATAAACACCACTTGTAGTAATACCGTCCTCAAACAAGCTCTTACAATCAGTGCTATCTAGTTTTATAGTGTCTGTAATGTATTAACTATTAGTTTATTTACCTAGTGGTGGACAGGCTTGTGGCCTTACATCAGGACATACCATGATAGTCTTTGCCCTTCCTTCTATGATATGAATAGTCTGTCCTAAGTTACTGGTGTTACAGCATGTCCTTATATACAGTGATGGTTCATGTTTATATCCAGTACAATCAGCCACACAATAAGATCCTTCTCCTTCATCAATCATTAGTATCACACACAAGAGCAGTGAACTAAACATCATCTTCAACATTTGTGTATCCATGCTGTGCTGTATAATTGTTTGTGGAATTTAAAGTATGATATAGTATGCATACAATTCCATGTACCTTAAGCCTACTATTTTTAGCGTCTACTAAATTTAACTATATTAGCGAGAGAGCTTTAAACCGCTAAATTAAATAGACACCAAAATAATAATTATTCATTATAATGGTTATTATTTATAGTTAATTTGGTTAAAAACGCTAAAATTAGTAATGCTAAACATGACTTTTGCTGATTTCGCTAAAATTAGTAGACGCAAATAATAGTAGGCTTAAGGTAGACTAACATATTTTATACATTCTCTTTTGAATCAACTTTGCTGGTATTTTATTAATCATTAAACAATAGCTAATAACATTATAGTATCATCAATTAATATTATGACATATCTTTGTAGAACTATTCATTAGTAATACTTTACTATTATACAGATTTTTGTTATTATTTGATCTGGTTATACATTTTATTGTAATACTGATTCTATCAAACACCTGCTCCACTCAGACATAAAAGGTGTGATAAGATTATAGATCAAGGTTGATCTAATAAGTATGCTGAGTGAGCTGACAAGCATTTTTGAGTAACTTGAAAATTTCATTAAAAATCAATTTTGATTGGAATTATCTCAAACTTGCTACACAGCATAAAAACGTGTATATGTATCAAATATATATATATAATGTAGAATTTCACTTTTTCATTTTTGGTGAAATTTGGCCAAGTTCCTGTACATAGTACAGGGACTTTTAACTCATTTTAAATAAATTTTTAATAATAAAAGAAGCTATTTTTATTGGAATCAGCTCAAAATTTTTATACAGTGCAAAAACATGTATTACATGTATGTACCATAGAAGATGATTTATTGGTGAGAGTAATATTTGGCAAAATACCCTATGGAAAGTTAATTGGCGAATTTTACATTGGCAATTTCTTGATAGAACCGCCAATCGCGAATATTAATTCCTCACCAATAAATCATCTTGTACAGTATTAGGAAAAACTTGAAATTTTCTCCTAGCAATTAATATTGTAGTGTTATTGTTACTAATAATAGAATATTTAGTGCAATAGAACTTCGAAATAGACTTAAAAGTAATAAAATAAAGTGATTTGAAAAAAGAACAATAAAAATAAACTTGTCACTTAACAGAAGAAGGATTGTAAGTTTAATGGAGACATGATTGCCGGCCACATGATTTTGCTTGAACTACTGACACAGAATTGGAATCATTGAGCGTCTATAAGATGCCAAAGAATTCGGCCAGAAGCAGCAGAGGGTCTGGACCAGCCAGACTAAAGCAGTCATGGACCGCAAATAATTAATAAACAGAATGAAGTCATTATCATTGCATCGTCATCTTACACTCTCTATGTTATAATCATTGATACTCCTCCTTGGGGTCTCCTTCAAGCTGTCATTACTGTGGAAAGTACTAAAATGTTCTGTTTCATCTTTTTTAGAGCAGCCATCTCCTTGCCTCCTTCGTATCCCACGGGGTCGTGGTAAGTAGCATGTGGCACCTGCACATGCGCAGTATATGAGGTTTGGCTTAGGCAATGACATAAATTCGTTATAACACCCCCGCTCGGGATATATCACATTTATCAGCACCTTGCAGGGGTGTTATAACATATACATATCAGTCTTTGTGTCATGTAATGAGTATATGTACATATTCTCCTAATCAAGTGTTTAAATGTTGCTGAAATATTTATTTAAATAAAAGTGCACTAAACTTTAGCAATTAAAAATAATATTGTATTGTATCAGCATCACACACTCAGTTATTAGTTAATTATCACTCAGCTATCAGTTAATTGTTACGACAAGTTTTCATCTCAGAGAACTTGAGACTATATCCATTTCCTTTCCAATCGTACCATATGATTCCACGCCAGCTACCAGTTTCAGTTGGATTAGTATGATAAGGACCATTGAGATGTGACTGATAGCAGCGATTAAACCACCAGGCACCATTCCAGTAATCAGCACAATTCCCACTACCATTGTCATTATCATTATCATTATCTCTTGTAGAGAATCTCATTCCATTGTGAATATAACCACTATCAAGATCAGTAATCAATCCATCCCCAGCAGTACCGGAGTATCCTCCTACTGTTAGTATATATTCAGTACAACCATCACTAACATTAAATGTAGAGTAGTTAGCATAAGCTGTGTTCCCCTCAAAGTCTCCCAGGTCCACTCTTAGTGTGTTTGATCCTTCTTTAGTAAGACGATGAATCTTGCTCAATCCTAACCAAAACTCACCAGTAAGGTTACCAAATCCATCCTCATAGTCAGTCCAGTTCCTATAGAAATCAACAGATCCATCTTGTCTCCTCTAAATACAGTCCATCCACCACCATCA